GGCAGCTGTATCCTATTATGGGCTGTAACTTAACACATGAGTTTCAGAAGTTGTTAAAATTGAGTTCAGGCTAACAAATCTTAACTGTTCCACACACACAAAAAAACAAAAACAACCCTCTAGTGAGATGAGACAGCAGTCCATGAAGAGCTCAGACTGATCTTTACAGGATGGGTGTATATCATATTTTATTTTGATCTGTTAAATCTTATTTATAGATAAGAAATAAATGTATTAGGACAGATATAGCCTTTAAGTGATTGAGAAGCTATTTACTTTTTTTCTGATTTTGAACATTTTTCCTCTGGGGCTGAGAATTTTAATATTTAAACTCTGTCAAGTGAACATTTGTTGAAAAAAGAAAAAGAGAGTATCTCTTATACCACTGATGCCAAACTATAACCTCCATTTTTCTCTTAGCATAAGCAATATCCTGTAAACACCATAAGCTGATTTCTGTAATGAAGCAAAATTAGCATTTGAATAAGCTCCTACAAAACAGCATGGCCAGTTTAATGTTAAAAGTATCAGAGTTTAAATGATTGTAATTAAGATGCAGTCTTTATTTTAAACTCAGGCAGCACAGCAGTGGAGGTTTATTTGCTTATTTATTTATGTTTCTAAATTGTACTCTTCTAGGCACAATTTATAGGATGGGATGCAACACAATATGTGTAGGGATTTGAAAGCACAAGGACCTTCATCCCTTACATCCTACTCCATTCCTTTCTGTGAAATGTGAAAACTATAAATGTATCATCAAATTTATAGATTTCAAGTAACTATACTAAAAAGCATGCGATGGAAAAAATACTTGACTCCTGAGGATTTCTGCTCTCTCAGGCCACATATAACCAGATTCATGATTACTAAGATGTTTTTAATAGCTCTATAGTCTGGTCCAATTTTTCCAAAGGTAGAAATGTACTCTTTGAAATAAAGTATTCACCTATCTGATAATTTATATATATGTGTGTATATATAAAACTTTTCATGTAGAAAAATGTTTCCCCGAGTAAAAGTGTTAATGTACCTCAAATACATGAGAAATTTGCTTCCAATTAAGCAGCATTTAGTAAAGTTTCCATTTTACCTCTTTTATTATAAAATTTAGAAAAAATATTAGTTAGAAGTCTAACATTTCACTTTATAAAGTCAACTTAGAAATCAACTCATTCTTGTGGCAATGAAAATTAAGATAACTTTTAAGCAATTTTTTGGAGAACATTTATCTTGCTTTTGGTATTCAGTCAGTGAAAGTGGTTTCTCTTCATAGGCATGTTTGGCATTCCTTACATCTTGCCTGAGTTGGCAAATGGTTTCTCACTGAGAAAAAGTTGCAATTCTTCCTAACTTAGGTATTGGGAAGTTTACCTCCAACCGATGTCAGTACAAACTTTCCCCCAATGTACCATAAGGTCATAATCTTCCAGAACTAATCTAAGACCATAGCTAACTCCAATGACTCCTGATTGCCTTCCTGTCAGCAAGATACAACCTGACTGCTCTGCCCATCTCTGCCTCCCCCAATGCATGCTTCCTGTATTGACTTTAGATGTGTTGTTCCCCGCCCCCCCAAAATGCTATTTTCCTCTCCACTTCACACTCTTGCTCAAATGTGATCACTTAATAGGCTTTCTCCCTTGCTCCCAAAAGAGTCCATTTTTTTCTCCACTGTTTTCCTAACAGACACTATATAAAATGGTAAACAGTATCTCTGAGAGGCAATGTCTTATAGTGACTAAAGATGAGTTGGAAGACAGAATTTGTATACTGCCTTCATCCTGTACTGGCTGTGTGACTTTGGCAAATTACCTTAACATCTAGGAGCTTCAGTTCCCTCTACTATAGATAACAATAGTACCGTAGCACTACATTAATACAATACTACCTACCAACTTGCTGTGAAGGATAAATGGTTCTAGCATAGTGTGTGTCACATGATGAGGGCTCAACACCCTAGCATTACTATCAAATGCATGAAGGAAGCACTCAAAGATGGCAGGTAAGCATATCTGAAGAGTCAACACTCAGATTAGGATCTGAAAATATAGCCATTTTGAAATCATGTGGTGGTTTCTTTTTAAAAAGGATGTGAGGAACTGTCAAACAGTAGCAAATAAATAGTAAGTTCACAGGCTCTTTCGAGAGTGGACAGGAGCTGCTGTTATGATAGCTCATCTTTGGTTGTGACACATGACATATGAAAAGAAATTGGATATTGCACAAAGCCAAGAATAGGAGGCAGCATGGAAACATGCTATAATTTGTCTGCAAAGAGATTGTGTCAGGTAGTGTGGAACTATCCAGTGCTACTCGTTCCAAAGTAGAGACATTGATGTAGTGGAGAACATCCAGTGTGTCAGCCTAGAAAAGCAAGCTTCAAATTAGGAGCCCATGTTATTTTAAAACCTTTTTCCATTATTTTTCATTTGAAATGTGAAATAGGGAGTAAAGAAAAAGATGTTATGGAATTCATTTAAGAGGTTAAAAAAAAAAAAAACCATCACAACTATTGCCAGACACCTTGTCTAAAATAAAATGACAGATTTAACATATTGTAAAATGCCATTTGAAGGTCCTCCTTGCCTGAGAAAAGCATTCAACTTTTATTTCCTTAAATGAATCTAACTATTCCCACATGCATCTGTCTTAGACCAGAAAACTGGGTACTTTTTCTGACCAACTTGAAAAGAAAATTCAGTTAATATTGTTTATTTTTAAGCAAATCAAAAGCCAACTGAGGGCAACAAATGAATCAGTGGCCATTTTCACTTCCTGCATTATGTGTGTCGGACCTTGAAGAGAGAAAACAGTACCTTCACAGTCACAGTCTTGAATTTAGCAAAGTCTAAAAGTCTTTTTAAAATTCTCCTTTGTTCAAGAAGAATTTGGGGCTGGGTTTTTAAATTTCTTGGATCAACTTTTCATCTTGCAGGAATGCAAGGTAGCAATTTTTGTTAAGCAATTGGTAGTGATGTGTTCTAGTGCTCAAAAAGAGATTAGAAGAGATTGGCAGAAAGAGATTAGAAGGGAAGATGCCAGGGGAGGAGCCAGGAGTGAGTAGGAGAGGGGACTTCTTAGAACTTCCCATTCAAAGCTGATGGCAGCTTTTTATACGTTGCCAGCAGGAGTATGGTGGCAGCAACTTATGGGTGTGCCAAAGAAAAGAGGCCACGTGCCAAACTCTGGCACATGTAGCACCCACAGGTTGCCAAGACATGGCTTAGCCCCCAAATGGACTTTCAAAGTCTTGTCCCAGAAAGTAAACTCATTCCCATTTATTCCACAAGAATTGTGAGTGGTTGAATGTTTCAATGCTATAAAAACTCCTGGTACTGAAATGTGCCATTTGGCTTACTTTCATTTAGTCACTTTTTGAGATTAGAAAAACCAGGCAAGCAGTTGCAGAGTGGCAGTCCATTCTAGCAGAAGCAGGTATGCTACGTGAATGAATATATAAAATAAGGCACTTTTGTGTCATTTCATATAAAAGAAGTTCTGTAAGGTCTGGGTGACACAACTTAATGTAAGGTTTATTATCACCCCATTTAAATATGCTATTTTTCTATTTGAAATTGTAAGCAATTGCAGAAATTTAGTTCATCTTAAAGAGTGAACCATGCAATTTCAGACATAAACATCTTCCCTTTCACTGTATTTCTTTTTACTTCATCCACTCTCCAAACCCTTACCATAAGTCCCCTGGTTCTATTCAATTTATCCAAAGCCTTGGGCACCCAAGAGCCCTTTATCCTTCACTAGGAATTCAGTGCTATTGTAGGAGAGACATTCTTTCCTTCTCTTTTCATTTAAAGAAACATACCAAGCCTGAATAGACTCCAGGCTACGCTAGAGGATAGAGTGATTTTTATTAGCTCTAACATAGCTATTGACAAATTCATGAAGACAGTATTTTTAAAAAGAAGAAAAGGCTTTGACTTTATGCCTAAGAAGGCAGATTCATTACAATTTAATTTCTAAAAGGAAAAATTTATAAAATAAAATGGTCCAACATTTCTCTTTCTTCATCACACATATGAGAAATATAAGCTAAAAGGACATCTGGAAAAGAACATTATTCAGTAATCAGAAAGTAAAAATTCAAACCATTGATGTTTTGATGGAGACAAACCTAACTAGATTCACAAGGAGGAAAGCTGTAGCCTATTGAAGTCAGGAAAAAAAAAAAAATCCATATGCATTTTACCTTTTGGGCAGTTCCAAAGCAAAGTTCTATTTCAGAAGCCCTTTGTAATATGAAACTCACTGTAGATAAGATACATGGTGAAGATAGTCTGTTTTGCAGCAGCAAGAAATCAAATTGGTTCCAGAAACGAAGTTATATGACAAATGGTTTAATAGTGTTGCTAGAATTGGAAAGCTTGATTGAGTTATTTTTTCATAATCATTAAAAAAAGATTTTGAAATAACTTTGTCACACTATATGGGGTGGGGGAGGGGCTGGGGAGTATTGCTGAGTTTGGGAGGCATTCATTTTATTGACCTTTTAACAAATGTGTTATAATTTGCTATCAAATTTAAAGAGTTCAGTGATTTATATTCAAATTTTGTTTGCTAAAAAATTTTTAGATGGACACAATACACAATATAACTAATACATGTTGTAGAAGATTAAACAGGTTAAAATATCAATATATTTCATTATCATTTCCAAGTTATTTTTAGTTTTAACCTCAGTTCCAGTCAGCCTTGCTTTATTTAAATAGCATCTGGAGAAGAAGTTCATTAAGACTTGGCAGGTTTAGAAGGGACTTCTAAACAGTTAGTAAGATACATCACTACAAAATAACCTAGAGCCTCATGCCTGTAGGTAAAAATGAAATCATTCTTCTGACTGAAGTCAGGAACAAGTTAAATATCACTCAGACCACAGCATACCACCACAGGGATTTAGAAGAAATCATAGTTAAATAGGATGTGACTAGACGTTTAGGACTATTTTCTAAAGTCAAAAAACTTTCCCCATCAGTACTTACAGTCTTTGAAGACTAGAGCTGGGTCTCTGTGAGGCAAGACTTGGGCAATGATATGTCTCAGAGATTCCAAGGTTCTGTCCATCTCGGGTCTGCCTGTGTGAGCCTCCTGCACAGAATGTCCTCATGCCTGAATTCTTGCAGTCCTGGACTGAATTTGTGCAGCTCATTGATGCACTGGATTACCAAAGAATCCCTTTTAACATCTGCCAATCAGACATTTCCCAGAATCTAAAGACCCCTCAGGGGGCCCTCCTCTCAGGCTCACTTATCTTTGTTGTATGCTGAGCTAATTAGCTCCAAAGGCTGGCTGACAGGCGAGTTCCCATTGCTTCCTTCTGTTAAACACACCCACCTACAGGCTAGCTGGGGAAGCTCGCTAATCATGGGAACAGATTTTCTCTCCAACCAGATTTTGCCTGAATGCTGTGCAGCTTTCTCATTCTTTTGCCCCTTCAAAAGAAAGGACTATCCTAGGAATATACAATCAAGAAATTTATTTCTCAAGGCAATTTCCTAAATAGCAAAGGTGCAGCTCAGGACTGCCATCAGTATATAATCAGTGTAGTCAAAATCTAAATTCTTTTTTGGTAAAGGAGTGCTAGATAGATTATGGTTGTAGTCTGATTATGCTTTGTATTTGAATTTAGAAACAACTCTTCTGGAATCAATGGTTTTGTTCCCCTGCTCCCCAATATAGGTAATTTCTGATGAGCAGTGACAAGCAAAACCTGGTTGACTGTCTCACAGCTTGCCTGGGAACATGTGTTTCTCTATTTACCCTTCAAGACAAATCATTCCCAAGGCTGACTCTAATTAATTCTGATATCATTCATTTCCTTGCATTTCATGATGATTCTATTAACAATTTCAGGAGGAACAAAATATATTTTTCAAGGAATATAACTAGTTATTAAAAGATCTTAAGGAAGCAGATTCTTTTTCTACCTATGATCTATACCACCCATAAAAATTTGTTAAATAATCTTTTGATAGGAGACATAAACATGTCATGAGATCCCATTGCAATAATAAGAAATTATACCAGATGTGAAATAACTGTTCTTAATGGCTACAAACTATGTTAGTCGTTGAATCGTAGAGGTCTTTTTTGCTTTTATTCAATTTTTTTTCCAGAGTAGGTATAGAGTTTATTTTCTAATGTTCCTTCCAATTTTCAGATTTCCATAATTACATTGTATTTTGTGATGAACTGAAACCAGTCCCTTAAAGACTACATAAAAATAAAATGTTTTCCATGTGATCAGCTTCTCAGCTAGTTGTAGCAGGGCTTAATAAAAGGAAAAAGGAGGAATGGAGCTGTTATAATTATTCTTATTATAATTATCACCTGGCAAATGTCCACAGGACGTAAAGGCCACACAGAATACAAATATGGGGCTGTCCAGGGCACAGAGATATTGATTGATTGAAAAAAAAAAATATATATATATATAAACTTGAAAGAAGATGCATTTCATGATATGATATTTACTTAGAGTCACAAAATACACTTTACATGGTCTGTACCAAACCAGATTTTTTTTGGGTGGAGGGGTATATGTGGTACTATGGATCAAACCCAGAGCCTTGCATTGTTAGGTTAACACTGTATCACTGAACAATACCCCCAGCCTAGGAAAATTGTTAATACCTTACAGTCAGGAGTTTTCATTTATTTTTTGCTTATTAATTTATTTTATTTTGAGGAAGGGGAGTTTATAATTTAAAGCATAAAGTGGATGGCTTATGAAAAAAATCTATTATACAGTGATTGAACACAAAGTATGAATGAATGCAAGTTATTTTCAGTGTGATATTGAATTGGAAACCAAGATAATGTTCCCATTGGAGAATCAGAAAAAAATAATATTGACTTCTCAAAGAAATAAGAATGACAACATGAAAAGAGAAAAAAAAATTAGAAGTGATTGATGTTTGGATTTCAGTCAGTACACAAGCATTTCTGTGGGCTTAAATTGAACTCTGATGGCACTCAAAAATATTTTGGTTGTATAATGTAGTGGAAGAAACAATGAATTTGGGATCAGTAGTACTTAGGATTTGATTTTTTGCTGTCTGTATAAACTTGAAAGGCCACCCCTCTTCTCTGGGCTCACAGTTCTCAACCATAAAATTAGGGAGTTAAACTTGATGGAGTTTTTCATTTCTAACATCTCTGATTCTATGGCTACACTATAAATAAATACAAATATTATAGATTTTCTCGCCATCTTTAAAGTTAGATAGTTGTTTCCTAAAAGTTGGACTGGTCTTCAAAAAAAAAAAATCACTTCTATTCCCATAGTCAATCTATCCATTCATTAATCTGAGAGACACAAGTCAATATGATGAATTCTTAGATGCTAATTGCATTTAAGAATTTGTTAAGAAAACTCATCCTCAACCTCAAGGTTTTTCTAAGGAAGACAAAACTATGAAGATCTTCATAGAGAACCACAAAACAGCTTTGTCAAAACAAGTTCACATAAGCATTATTATCTTTAATGAGTTACATTTTATGAAATGAAAACAAGAATTCTAACAAAGTAGATTATACAACATTCCAGTTAGCATAGTTTCCTCACTAAGCCCAATCTTTCAGTAAAAGTTTTCTTAAACCTTTGTTTAGGTGTTTTTTTAAATGTTCATAAAGACTGCTTTCTTTGAAGTGCTGCTATTACACAGTCAGCAAAACAGCTATGTGGTCTCTTACTATCCTCTCTTTGATGTAAAAAGCAACTGATGGAGATGGAAGAGTCTGAAAAACTCCTGAGTAATGTGCCTGTTTTAGTAAAAATTCTAAAGTGCATGTTATGTTTCACTGTGAATATCAACCACCTGAAGTCATATGCCAAAGACCCAATTAAAATATCAAAACAAGGTAGATGAGCAGAGTGAAAACCAGATTGATGTGTTATTGATTGATTGATTTTGGTTTTTGTGTTTGAACTTAGGACCTTGCTTTTTCTTGACAGGTGCTCTACCACTGAGCCACTCTGCCAGTCCTTTTTATGTTGATTATTTTTAAGATAGGGTCTTACTTTATACCAAGGTTGTATACTTTGTACTACTTCATGCACAATGAAACAAAAATGTTACTGGTAAGGAAAATTCATTGCTGTCAATCCAGTAAAATGTTTGTTGTTGGATAACTCGTTCAATTTATAGAATATGGAAGTGGGGGTGGAGGTCACTGATTGAAATTACATCCAAAATTTAGAAAACATAGTAGATGCATCAAAGAATCATCTTTACTTTTAAACAGAAAGGAACCCTCTCTTCATGTTCATAATCTGCTCTGCTTTGGAAAAAAGACCAGGATTGGCAAGGCAGGGAATGTGCCTACAGATGAGGTTCGTGAGACTCCAGACACCAAAGATTTCAGTTCAGGGCATTCAGGGTCCAAAAAATTGGTGTGCAGCAATTGTCTGAGCTTAGGAATCAGATGACTGAGGAAAGGAGAGGATCCTGATTGAGATTTGGGAAAATTATCTTCCCTGAAAAAATTTCTTTACTTAATTTGCTTATGCTTTTATGCCTTAATTCTTAAAAATTTATAAGTTGAGATAAAATAGATAAAATGAAAACAACTGAAGTCATGCAATTAAAAAATGTTAATATAGAGAATGAATAGTTTATAGAAACAATGGAACCCTAATACCACCAAAAGAAAAGAAAAAGAAAAAAGAAACAATGGAAAATGACTGATAGGAATTCCAACTGTGGAGTTGGCAAAAGAGGGTCAAAGCTGTGTTCAAGAGTGTTTCTGAAGGAGTAAGGGAAGGGGAGACATGGACAAGGGGAAAGTCTGTGAAGAAGCTGACTTTGCAGAGGTAAGGACTAATGACTGTTTAGTGTCAGCTTTGTTTAGCCTCAACTAGAAAGAGACCAGTAGGAGGAAAGAAGGCTGGCTAGCATCAACTTTGTTTACTATCAACTGGGAAGGAACAAGCTAAAGGAATAAATGGTTGCTTAGAATTAATTTATTTATTGTCTATTATGAAGGGACTAATTACATATTTGAATCAAGGTATTTAAAGAGAGGGTCAGTTGAAAAGGCAACTATATATAGTTTCTAGACAAAAGTTTAAAAGCACAAGTAACATAATAGAATGTTATTTCAGACCTTTGCTCCCTGATATTTCACTGCACTTAGGGAATCATCAATAAGAAGTAATCTGTTGAATTACATGAAAAATAGAGAATCAATTAATACCCCATCTACAAATAAGGGTATGTACATTTCTTCATTTTTATAGAAAAGTATTATAAAGACAGTGGTAAACCTCTCTGTATCTTTGCCCAGGCAGTCAAAATCAACCCTCAGAACTAGAAAACAATGAAAACAAACCTCTTATTCATTCACTTGACCTTTCTGATTAGTATATATATATGGGGATCCTGCATGAATCCATTTTGTCTTGATGGTCATACATAACCAATTAGTCAGCCCTATCTATAATTTGGCCTTCAAGAGAAGCACAACTGATTCTTCAAGAAATACTTTACAGGCCAAAGATATCATTTGAGGAAGGAATGATTAAGTAGTTCACAGGTTAACATTTGTAGGATAAAGTTGGAATTATTTAAAGCTGGGAGAATTTGGATGCTCTAATTTGTAAGATTGGAGATAATAATGTCAAGCACTTTGGTCATTAGGTATGTGTTCACAAAAGCTAAACTGATATTTTAACTGTGGTTGGCTGACTTCCAGCATAGCATATATTTTGAAAAGGATTTTTAACATTTTTGGTTTATGGGATGGATTTTGCCAGTGGCTTTTATGACAATATTATCTTTCATAAAAGTTTATCTAATTACTGGTTCCTCTCCTTCCATTTTCTCAGGCATCTCCCTCCAGGACTGGAATTTATATTGTTGGCTGTTCAGGAAAAATTGATACAAGATGTGGCTATGAAGTGATCAGATTGATTCTAAAAGAGGCACCTGAATTCCAGCAGAGTGCCTGAGCCACTCCTCAAATGGAGATGAGGTCTGGGGGATGAATGTGGGCTAGGAAGGTGAGACACACCGCCCAGGCTCCTTTCTGGGTTAAAGGAGATGAATTTTTTCTTCTTTAAAATCATGCTTTTGGAGGTATGAGTCATATAAAAGGGTTAAATCTCTGGAAAAATAATGACCAAATTAAATGAGACTAAGAAAAACAGTATTAAGTTAAAATAAACCTAGAGAGAATGTTTACTAGTTATAAACAAATGACTTAAGCCTGAGATTAGTTGATGATGTTAGGTTCCAGCAACCAGTAATTTCACAGCTCCATATATTTTAGATGAAGCTTCCTGTAAAGACTGCATCATCAGTAGACTCTTAATTCCAGCTACACTTACGGATGTGCTTACATTAAGATAAAAGCCTTATGCCCATCCATTTCACACTATAAACTATAATTTCCACTTTACTTCCTATGTAGTCACCACCAGAGCACTGCACTTAACAGGCATCCTGCTGACAAAGAAGAAACATTATTTCTTTTCAAAATTTGTTTAAAGAGGGAGGAATAGGAAACTGCATAAAAAGGGGGCCTATTTTTCCATAAATTGAAAACTGGAGAAAGACCAAATTATAGAGTAATAAATTCTTCTGATTCTCTCAAGCTACCTCCATAGCCTTGAGCTCAAGGAGAAAGTTCTCCCCCAGGATTGCTCCCTATGCCGCGCTCCCCCCACCGCCCCAATTAAACAAAACAGAAATTTTTCCAGCAAGGACTTTTGACTATTGAGATGGGTTTTCTTGGGTATGTAATGAGATGAAAAGGCTTATTGACTTATTACAGAAAAAAAAAAACTTTTATTTTTTGAAGTTTCTGGAAGACAATTCAAAATCCCATTGTGAGGACTGCCTCCTCTCACAGTGCCAGGAAGGCAAGTCAAATTTTATGGGTCTTAGTACTTTGCAGGAGACCTCCAGGCTGAATAGCTCTACCACCCAAGTATTCTGGTTTTCCTACTATTCAACCTTTTCACTATGTATCAATTTCATCTTTCTTTCCTATTACTTCCCAATCTTATTCCCCCTATGGTTTTGCTCTAGCAATTTTACATCTAAAGATATATTCTTAGAAACAGGTCATAGAGAATTCTGTAATTCTGATATAACAGAATGGATTCTATTCCATATTGTCTTGGTCACAATACTTAGGCTACTAACTGGGTACCCTTTTAGATTCTAGTCCAGGTTCCCTCCAAATCATTCTAACATTGACAGATTTCCTTTAGCCCCACCTACCTCCTTTAAAATAGTGCACTTCTTAAAACCTAGTTGCTCTTTTCCTGAGACATCAATTTTTTCAGTTTTGAAAATCATTTTTAATTTAGTCCTTTGCTGCACATCCTTCCAACTACAGCCCCTACGCATATTTCTTCCTTTGCAAGCGCTTTTTCAGTCTACCTATTCAACCAAGTCCCCCCACCCCCAACACACACACCCCTCCAATAACACTGGCCTTTCACACGGGCTTCCTTGGAAGTTCCTCAGTAGCAATCATTGGTACCAGGCTGCTGGGTAGTATTTTTTGTATTATCATGAAGTTTTCTGTGTTTATTTTTGCTTTTCCAAATACAGTAGAGGCTTTTAGCTGGTCAAAATTGTATCTTAAAAACCTGTGTACCTTTTTCCTTTCTAACTTTACACACTACCAGACATGTAGAAAACTGAAGTGTGAATAACATACATTTTTCTTATTATTCTAGGCCAAACCTCTTTTACCAATAGAATTAGACCACTGTTTTTAGAATTTTAAAAAAATTCTAAAATTTAAAAAAACGTAAGTGGTTACTTTTATCTTTTTTTTAAAAAAGGGAGAACATAATATTGTGATGTGTCCCAAATGATACATTTCAATTTTCACATTATAAAACATACTTTAAGGAATTAAATCTATACTTTATACTTTTTTTTCTCTTGGTGGTATGAGATTTGAACTCAGGGCCTGTGCATGCTAGGCAAGCACTCTACTACTTGAGCCACACCCCAGGCCTTAACCTACAGTGATTTGTTTCTAAAATTTACATAAAGTATTAAATGTCATTATTTACAATTTGTATTAAATTTTATTATATTAAATTGTATTATAAAGACTGTCTTTATAATATTACAATAAATATGTCTTTTCTAATGATAAAGTTTTCCATAGAAGTGTTGTAGGCTTTGGAGTTATCCCCATATCCTGGTTATCATACCAGTGTGTGACCCATGGCTATTCTGAGCTGTAATCTCCAGTTTCCTTACACATTTGCACAAGATGGTTCCAGTACTTCATAAAGCAAACCAAGGGCAAAGTAAAAATCTGATATTCTCTAGGCAGATGTTCTGAGAAGGAATGAACATGAATGGTGAGCTTTTGCCCACCCAAAGTACTGAACAGGTGTCAATGAAATACTCCTACACCTCAGAAAGTGTTTTGAGAACCTAACGAACTTACTCCTCTATTCTCTGGAAGTGGTTGACAAACCTGGAAGGCAGCACCAGGTAGAGTCCTTTAACTGGGTAGCTGTTTATTATGTCTGAAAAATTAATTAAGTACTTGCAAAAAAGAATGACTATCTTGAGCTGAACTCTGATTAGTACCCTCTATTTTTATGGTTCTGAAGAAAGCTCAAAGACAACCAGCTGTGTACTGAAGAACATATGAATGGGTAGCACAAATATAAGCCACATATTTTGTAGGAAAAGCTCATTTAATGCAAACAGGAAGTAGACTATGCAAGGTCACAAGCAAAGCATTTATGAGTCTTTTGGTGGGGAGCTGGAGTGGGGTGGAGTTTGATCCCAGGGCCTCCAGTTTGCTGAGCTAATGAGCTCTATCACTGAACTCTGTGCCCACCAAGTCCTGAAAATCCAAAACAAGGATCATAGTTTAAGTATCAGTGACCTTGAGAATAGGAAAGATGGTTAGTGTGTGGAATCTTCCTTTTAGTAATTTTAAGCCATTTTAGCTTACTAAATATATATATGTCACAGCACTAAGCTCTTTACAAGTATTATTTCATTTACTCTTCTCAAGTCTGATAGGCACTATGAAATGTTCCCACTTTAAAAATTGAAAAAGCTACAAAAGGTACTTGAGATATAAGCAGAATCAGGACTCAAAAGTTTTTGTGTTTGTGTGTGTAGGTGGAGACCAAACCCAGGGCCTTGCACAGCAAGCACTCGATCACTGAGCTATATTCCCAGGCTCCCCAAGTGTTTTAAATCACAGTATATAATACCTTTGTAGTAGACTTAAAATTTTGTCTTTGCTTCTTGTTCACTATGGATGTTTTAAAATGTAAGGTTACAGCTTGTCTGTTAGGGAAAACTATTTCTACTTGACCAATAGCCAAAAACATCTTTTAAAAATACCTGTCATGAATGGACCCAGTTTACAAACAAAACCACCCAGAAAAAAATTCTTCTTTATCACTTATTAGTAAATCTTTAGTAGCTACCACTAATCTTTGTCCAAGTGAAGTGAGGCCTCCATTTCTAATTTGAATTTGTTTTATGGCTAATGTGAAATTTTAGGTTATCAAGGGTAAGAACCACGTATATTTATTTGCTTTCTAAGTTTCCCAAATAGTAATGAGCTTTTTATGTAGTAGGTACCCAAGTTGACTCAGTCAATTGAGTAATGCTAAGTAGGATGAGGTCATATAACTTTATTTCCAATTTGCTTTCAACACTCTGAATATAAAAAAAAAAATGTATTTCAAAATAAACATTCTGTGGTGCTGTTAAACTATCTTCAATGTTATTAGAAACTTTTGAAAGAGAATAAAAAAATGAATGCCTGAGCTTAAAGGTATCTAAAAGTCAAAGTAGGGCTATGTAAATACTTTCCAAATTAGTCTAAGTTAATTTTCAAAGGAACCGATCTAACATTTTCTTGTATCCAAACTTCAAATGAATTTATTAGATAATCATGGGTGTTGCAAATAGCCAGAATTAATTTTTCAAGGTGAAAGTGAATCTGGTGTCTATCTTAGATATAAGATATTCCTGCTGGATGAAGATAGCTTCATCACTGATACAAGTAATTTAAGGATATCCTGTTGGTCAGTGTGGGCTACATTGCCATCTACTGGCTATTTCTCACTGCTTGTGATGTTCCTCCACTGGCCTACTTGGGGATGAACGGACAATGAAATTTGGAGCATATACCTACACACTCATCTCTATCTCACTGAATTATAGACTTTAAGGAAGGGACCATGGTTTAGGTATTTTCTTTCCTGCTCTAAGTACTTGTTAATGCTGAGGTAAGAACATGTTCTAGATTCACCTACATGAGGAAGAACATTTCACTCTTCATTCCTTCTTCTAGTTGCGCCCAGGCCTGCAAAAAAGCTGCCAACTATAAAAACTGTGGAAGGACTATCTCAAGTGGGTGTTACCATGACCACGTTGCTAAGGTAAATGGAATGAGTTGTTAGCAGAATTTCTGAAACATAGATGTCATTATAATTGCCATTGTAATATCTATGCCTTACTGAATGTTATAGTGTGCTAGGCATGGTTCTAAGTGTTTTATGTGCATTGCTTCAAGTAATCATTAAAGCAATTGCATAAAATAGTTGTAAGTTCAGTTAGTAAGAAAATTCAGGTTGAAGGAGATAAAGAAAAGAGAACTATGACTTGCTTTAAGTTGTTTCTAATATTAAGTATGAAAAATCTGGGATTTGAAATAAAAAAATCTACTTGTTCATGGTAGAGACCAAAACAAACAACAGAAATAGTGATTCTGAGACTTTTCTAAAATAATGCAAATATCTCTAATAAAGTTATTTTGAAAAATTATTTTAGAAGATTTGCCATAGTTATCTGAAGTACTGGACTGCACAGCAGAATTACTGTATTTATTCTCTGGAAGACATATTGAGAATGAGTCAAATTTATAAATGAAAGGTTTATTTATCTATTTAATATACTGGCCTTCAAAGACCAAAGGTGAAAATAGGGTTATAGTAACTTAGAAAATATATATTAGAAATATCCAAGATCTTAAACCACATTATTCTCCCCAAAAGCTGGCTGCTTCCAAACTTGACTTAATATTTTGCATGTTTTCTCTTCGTTGCTTGGTAAATATATTTGCTTCTCCTTTCTGTAGTCGACGTCTGACAGCAGATTTTTGCTGTTTTGTTAGCTGACGTTTCACTTTCTGTTTCACCACTTCCTGGAAAGAGTTTGTAAATTAGTATCACTGATAACCACTGAGATAAGGAGCAAAAATTCACTAAAACAAATTGCTATTATTTTTCAAATTTATGTGTTAATAAGAAGCATGAGTTTAAAAAAATGCCATTGACAGTAGTATATGAACCAGCAATAAAATAAAACAGAAGCTAGTATAAAATTCAAGAAATTAAATTCCTAGCAGAAGTACAGATTATATCATATAACAACTGTTTAAGAAACAAATCACCATACTGCCCCCTAGAGTTCACCATGAAAACTGAAAGAAAAAAGAAGATGAAACCTATTCCTCTGCTTTCTAGGTAAAAGCAAGACATGGTTTTGTAATGAAAAAAAAAAAAAAAAAAGAGTTTTGAAAGCTAGCTATTGACAATATATCCACAATATAGCCAAGAATGTCTTCACAACTTCAGCTGTATAAAGAACTTGATGGAAGCAGTCACTTGTGGAAAAGTCTTCATATACTTTCCTGGATATGGAGAATGTTTCCTTAGGAATGATGAAAAATTCAAATTATTTATTAGCTAAGACACAGGCTGAACAAGTAACATGACTTAAAAGATCAAAAAGAAATGTGAATGCTGGGGGTGTGGCTCGAGTGGCAGAATGCCTGCCTGGCAAATGCAAGGTCTGGAGTTCAAACTCCATTATTGCCAAACAAAGCAAAACAAAAGAAAATTTGAAATTTTGAGCTTTTCTATCTCTGAAGCCGAATTCAGAACAATTTACATACCCTGCAAGGTTATTTTTCTTCATGTTAAAAAAAAAGTGAGAGAAAAAAATGTATATTGTTAAAAAGAATATAGCTTTTTTTTTTTAAAGGAATACAAAATCCCTGTGTGTTATTTTAGGGAGTACATAAAAATTAATTAAAACTAGTTAGGTGCCAGTGGCTTACACCTGTAATCCTAGCTGCTTAAGGGGCTGAGATCAGAAGAATCATGGTTCGAGGCCAGACTGGGCAAACAGTTTCAACCCCATTTCTAAAATAACCAAAGCAAAATGGACTGGAAGTGTGGCTCAAGCAATAGAATGCCTGCTTTGCAAGCACAAAGATCTTAGTTCAAACCTCAGATCCACCAACAAAACAAAACAAAACAAAACACCAAATTAAAATCATGTTCCTTTTTTGTTGTTAAAGCAAAAAATGCTCTTCTATTAGGGGTAGCCATATATATATTTATTAAAGGTTTTCTGGGGTACTGAGAATTGAACCCATAGCCACTTTTAAGTTACACCACAGCTCACACATATTTAATGAAAAGCAATATATCCTTATTTAATTTTAATTTAATTCTGTTATATATTATTAAGAACAGAGTTTACAAATGGCTTGTGTGGTTCCAGTAGTAAGAGCGCTTGCCTAGCATTTGTGAGGACCTGGGTTTGATCCCCCACAAAACAATGGCCAACAAATAGGAAGTATAAACTATTTTAAGGAGGAAAACATATTTTACAAAATCTTTTGCTTTTTTATATACATTCCAAAACAATAGTCATCAAGTTAAAGATAAACAGTTCCTGTCCTGATTTGTGTGTGTGTAGTACTGGGGACTGAATCCAGGATCTCCTGCTTTCCAGGCAAGCACTCTACCATTTGAGCCACATCTCCAGTCCTTTTGCTTTCTTGTTTTGTTTATTTTTAAGTTCATTTTTTAGACAGGGTCTTATGCTAACTTTGCCCAGGCTGGCCTAGAAGTGTAATCCTATCTCTGCCTCCTGAGTAGCTGGGATTATTCATATGCTACCACATCCAGCTTGTTTTCTTAGACAGGCTCTAGCTAACTTTTTGCTGGCTTGACCTTAAACCACATCTTCCTACTTCTATTTCCTGAGTAGCTGAAATTATATGCATGTACCACCATACCTGACAATAGATTTTGTCTTTTAATGTAATGCATGCTTCACAGATTTCAAGTTCATGTTCATAAATTGTAAATTACCAGAGCCTTAGAGTAATTGAAATTAATTACATTGCCAGGATTTCACCTTTTTATGTCTTATGAGCTATAAATGTTTCTGATGTCAAGTAAAGGGATGAAAACTAAAAGTGTCTATAACTTAGAGTGCTGTTATTTTACCTTGTTTTTGATAGCTGATTTTTTTTTGTAAATATCCTGTATTACCAGTATGAGGCACATTTTTATTATACATTTTTATTAACTGACAATATTTCTGAACTTTGAACAAGAACTTTAGCAAAATAAAGTTATTTCTTTTCTTTTGAATTCACTTTCTAATCATTCATTTCCTACTTTCTTATCTCTGAACTGATTTTCCTCTTTTGGTCACTAAGTTATTACTAACAACTGACTTATCTGAAACAGGAGGAAAAAATCCCAACACACTGATTATTTATGAAAAAGTTAACAAATTACTATGCTGCTTTATTTTCTTAATGTTGGACAGAAAATAATTTTTAGATAGCTCAAACTATAATTTTTAAAACATTACTTAATCCTGAAATAAAGCTAGGACATAATGTGTGCTAGCTTATAAACTTAGCTTTTGTTGATTGCCAAAGGACTCAGGAAAGTAATATGAAAACCAAGAGTAGCCTTGTTTCATTTGCCAGAGGAATTAAATTTATGTCATTCCTAAGTGACAGGTAAGAATGATACATACATATCTTCATAATACTAATGCCAGGGAGTAAGAGAGACAATACCTCCAAAGGCCAGTGAGAATGGCTTTGTTTTATGGGATGTGATTATCTCTAAAGTGATTCTTCCTTCTGGGTAGCTCAGCAAAAGGGCTGGCACACACAAAAAAGGCTCCTCAGCTAAAGCAAGAATATTTTTGCTCATTGTCTCATTCAGAAAATGCCCCTTTTATAATTTCTTTGGACATTCCTGCCAAATGTCCAAAGAAACCAACACAAACCTGAAATCCCCCAAATTTGAAAATTACCTATTTTTTCTTTTAAAATTTAAGAATGAACTAATTAGTGAAGGTGGTGCATTTTCACATTTCAGTCTAATGCTGTCACAGGTTGAAAACTGGGTAAAGTCATATATCCTATCTGGCCTCAATTCCCTCACTGAGAAAATGAAGGGACTAAGCTACATGGGATTCTACAAAGCCACCTTGAATCTAAAATTCCTATGATTTTACCCTTTAAGTTCCAGTTAATTTACATGCTGCCTTTTTCCTGAAAGCTGTGAGGGAACCTCAAAAAAGTGAACCCTTTCTCCTGTATTAGTGAATTTATACCTGCTATAGTACCTGAGCTCACTGCTCTGCTTACAAATGTTTGTGTTTGATACATGTTGTGTGAATACTTACTGGAGGAATTGTTGAACAGCTTACAACACTACCTGCAGAAGTAACACTCAGAGTTCTTGTTCTGTACTGATGAATACTTCTTGTATTTTCTTCATCCCTAAAATAAAAATTAAAAAATTCCAGAATTTATGCAGTTAATCTTTATTTAATCATGCTTAACTAAATTAATTTGTATTATTTCTTACTTGACAGCAAAGTTTATATAAAAAAATGCCTCAGTAAGATATTTAAAATTTCTATGAAGATCAAAGTAAAGCTATCCCTACTTCAGCTCAATATATTAATAATTTCTTTCAAGTCTGATACAGTCACTATCAAACTTTCAAAATGCTAGAATGTTTCAGTCACTAAAATTTATCACTTCCCCCATAATTCATGTCTTATTCAACAAAGCTCTCCTCTTCTTCCACTGAACTATACAAATCTGCCTCTCATGATCTAAACCTGAGACACTTTCCTGCCTTCCTAAATAGTAGATATAGATATAGTGAGAACAGACTTTTTTTTTTGAGACATGGTCTTCTTGCTATATAGTGCTGGCTGGCCTCAAACTATTGTTCCTGGTGCCTACAGGCATATCCCTTCTGAGTGCTGGGATATAAGACGAGTGCCAGCCACAAATGCCCAGTCAGACTGCTTTGTTAGGTAGGGGAAAACCTACAACTATGGAAACTAATTTTCACATTGCTCAAAGTTTTAATAGATACAATGTAAGAACTAAAACAACACTAATTTTAACAGTATTTTTGAGCAACATCTAGTTTGCTTGTATATCCAATAATAAAATTTCCTGCTTAAAATTTTGTCCAATGTATTCATTCAGAGAGTGAGAACAAATTAATACCCCATTCCCTGCTTAAAAGACTGTTTAAGCTTGAGGCATGGATCAAGTGGTAGACCTCATGCCTAGGAAGTGTGTGTGAAGCCCTCAGTTCAAACCCTAGCACATGAAAAAAAAAAAGCTCAAAAGACCATTTAACCCGATGTAGGTTTTCTTCTATCACTGTGACAGCTCATTTTATGTGTCAACTTCCTTCATTGGGCATCCTGTAGGGTGCCTGATATTTGTTTGAACACTACTCTAGATGTGTCTATGAGAGTTTCTGAATGGGTAGATGGAGTAAAGCAGAGTGCCTTCCCCAATGTGGGTAGACCCCATCTAATCCACTGAAGGCTGAAATAGAACATAAATGCAGAATAAGAGACTTTGCTTTCCTTGCCTGTCTTGGGACATCAGCCTTCTCCAGTCTCCAGACTCATACCTACACTATTGGCTCTCTTGGCCTTTGGATTTAGATCAGAAGTAAACCACTGGTTCTCCTGGGTCTCCAGCTTGCTGATGGCAGATCTTGACACTTCTCACCCTACACAACCAGATGGGCCAATTCCTTAAAAAGATGATCCTAGATTTATAATGGCTCAGTTTATATTTTTTCAGCTTTACAATGATGTGAACATTATATACATTTGGTGAAAATCATACTTTGAACTTTGATCTTTTATTGGGCTAGTAATACAAATGGTGCTGCTAGAAAACAGTAAGTTGCACCTTCTGGTGAGCTATGCAACCATAGGAGTAAACAACAGATACCCTATCATGTGCTGCATTGCTAATCTATGATATTTGGTAGATTAGGTGTATTAACTACATTTCTGACTTGCATTCAAATCTATATTAAATCTCTACTATTTTGGTTTTGTCCATAGAATCCAGACCAACACAATTACTCAAAATTTAGAACCACTGCTACCTCTTTTTCCTCTTATGCTTGTTTTAATTTTCAGTTTATTATTTAAAAGGCAGTTACCCTAAGGTTGAAGATATAAAGCTCGATGTAAAAAGAATAAAATTCTCTTATTTTGCTTCATAAACAAAACTGTAAAGATAAAAATAACCTTAAGATGCATGACTAAACATATTATTAAGAAAATGCATAATAAGTGTACTGCTGAGGTAATTTTAAAATATTGACCTTTTAGGATAAATAAAACCACTGTTGCATTCAACTACACTTCGCTACTGGATAAATGATCCTAAATCTAAAACTAAGTTTTAGAACTTTTGCTAATTTAAGCTGAATCGAATTCATTAGTATCTGCAAGATAAAAAATTCTTAAAAGAAAACATAATACCATTACATAATTTTAACTGTATAGGGAACAAAGGATAGAAGACTCAAAGTACCTGAGAAAATTCACTGTAGATATTTTACAGAAAGCATATTTACATTTTACATATTTCCATGCCTTTATAGAATTCAAATATACATTAGATGTGTAATTATGGAAACAGAACAACTCATCCACCAAAAACCCTATCAGTTTATCAAGAGACCTACACTAATCCTATGAAAGTCATCAGTTTTTATTTTAAGGCAGATTTAGCTGAAATTTAGTCAATAAACTGCCTTGAATCAGATCAACTGAAAAGGCAGATATGTTGGGTATTAACACCAAAAAGATTTGGCTTTTATTTTGTACATAACAATGGCAGAATACAATAGGAAAAGGGGAACAGGTACTAGAGAAAAGGTTAGATCAAAAAGAATTAACCTAGAAGGTAACACCCATGCACAGGAAATCAATGTGAGTCAATGCCCTGTATAGCTATCCTTATCTCAACCAGCAAAAACCCTTGTTCCTTCCTATTATTGCTTATACTCTCTCTACAACAAAATTAGAAATAAGGGCAAAATAGTTTCTGCTGGGGTATTGAGGGGGGGGGAGAGGGAGAGGGCGGAGTGGGTGGTAAGGGAGGGGGTGGGGGCAGGGGGGAGAAATGAACCAAGCCTTGTATGCACATATGAATAATAAAAGAAAAATGAAAAAAAAAAAAAAAGAAATGGGCAAGTGAACTAAACAGAACTTTCTCAAAAGGAGAAATTCAAATGGCCAAAAAACATGAAAAAATGCTCACCATCTCTAGCAATAAAGGAAATGCAAATTAAAACCACACTAAGATTCCACCTCACCCCTGTTAGAATAGCCATCATTAGCAACACCACCAACAACAGGTGTGGGCGAGGATGCGGGGAAAAAGGAACCCTCTTACACTGTTGGTGGGAATGTAAACTAGTACAACCACTTTGGAAAAAAATTTGGAGGCTACTTAAAAAGCTAGACATTGATCTACCATTTGATCCAGCAATACCACTCTTGGGGATATACCCAAAAGACTGTGACACAGGTTACTCCAGAGGCACCTGCACACCCATGTTTATTGTGGCACTATTCACAATAGCCAAGTTATGGAAACAGCCAAGATGCCCCACCACTGACGAATGGATTAAGAAAATGTGGTATCTATACACAATGGAATTTTATGCAGCCACGAAGAAGAACGAAATGTTATCATTTGCTGGTAAATGGATGGAATTGGAGAACATCATTCTGAGTGAGGTTAGCCTGGCCCAAAAGACCAAAAATCGTATGTTCTCCTCATATGTGGACATTAGATCAAGGGCAAACACAACAAGGGGATTGGACTTTGAGCACATGATAAAAGCGAGAGCACACAAGGGAGGGGTGAGGATAGGTAAGACACCTAAAAAATTAGCTAGCATTTGTTGCCCTTAACGCAGAGAAACTAAAGCAGATACCTTAAAAGCAACTGAGGCCAATAGGAAAAGGGGACCAGGAACTAGAGAAAAGGTTAGATCAAAAAGAATTAACCTAGAAGGTAACACACACACACAGGAAATCAATGTGAGTCAATGCCCTGTATAGCTATCTTTATTTCAACCAGCAAAACCCCTTGTTCCTTCCTATTATTGCTTATACTCGCTCTACAACAAAATTAAAAATAAGGGCAAAATAGTTTCTGCTGGGTATTGAGGGGGTGGGGGGGAGAGGGAGGGGGCAGAGTGGGTGGTAAGGGAGGGGGTGGGGGCAGGGGGGAGAAATGAACCAAGCCTTGTATGCACATATGATAATAAAAGAAAAAAAAATGGCAGAATACAACTATGTCATACCTTTTATTTTCATTTTCAAACATAGTTATTTGCCAGAAATCAAAGAAAGCATTGGTCTCAAGATTAAAGCAAAAAAAGCACATAATAAAAATCTATACCTGAAAGGCCCGAATTCTTTGTTTAATGATGACAAGGCAATCAGATGAGGGCATTCATCTTCATACTCTTCTGAGCCAGCAGGGATTCCTTTTTGATCTGTCTGATCATCTTGTATGGTGTCATTTTCAGTTCTGTTCTCAGAAAACCCACTCACAGAATTGTTCCCAACAATCTGTCCTTTTATTTCCTCTAAAGCTTCATTGAATTCAGTCATTTCAAAACTGTGTGCATCAGCACTTTCCATGGATAAATTTTCTTCCTTTATTTGTTTGAGGTCTCCAGATGAGTTGCAACAGTAGCTGCCTGATTCATCTTCAGGGTTCTGTTCACTTTCCATTCTTGACCTACGAAACTTTGCTTTTTCTGAAACCTCATCATCAGAGAATGAGAAATCAGATTCCTCTTCCATCTCAATATTATTATCATCTGGACCTACTGGATGTAGCAGTTCATCATCTGCCTGCATTTCCTTTGTGTAACCACTGGCAGAAACCTCAACATCAAGAGAATCTTCCCTCCTACAAAAGAGTCAAGCACTGAAAGAGGGAGACAATATATCTACCTAACATAAATACCTATTTACTATTCTGACAAACTATGCTTCTCAAGTGAGTTTAGTCTGTATTTTAAATATAGTATTTGAACCACTGACGTATACAAATATACAAAAATAACTGAAAAGCCACACATTAATAAAAAGGTTATAGAAACTTCAGTTAATACTTGTCAACTTAGTATATTAACTTCAAAAGGAGGCTACAGATTTCTTTTCAAATTATATGACTCACCCCAAATCAGGAAATACTGCAAAAGCATAGTTTAAATTTTAGTTTAAGGAATGTGTATAATCGTATCCCAAAATCAATTAAAGGGAGTTTTTGTTTTTCATGAAGGAAAAACACAAATTTCAATAAACATTTGGGTTGATTCCTTAAGAATTGAGTTACTGATACAGCAACCAAAATAAAATAAAAGTTTTGTTTTTTTTTTTTGTGATACTGGGGTTTGAACTCAGGGCCTCATACTTGCTAGGCTCTACCACTTGAGAGTGGTAGAGTTCTTGAATTTTTAAGAAACTAGATATAGTCCATCTGAAAATTCAACAGCAGTATCTTAATGGACTAAAGGCAGGTTTTTAGTCCATTTTCAAGTTTTTATGCTTCCCTTATGTGCAACAGAACAATCATACTCGATAGTGATTATGTGTCAAAGATCACTTATCTGGATATTATTTTAGAACTAAATAAATCAGACATTTAAAGGATCCCATAATTGGAAGCAACAGTGAGTACAAACCTGATATCACTAAAGGTTGGATAAACTTCACTTTCATAGCCAAAACGTTTCATGAAGAAATCCCTAATGCATTTAACATCCCTGTCAAAATACCTGCAAAAACAAAAAATCATTGTTGATAGTCTTTGTTGCTCATCCTTTTCCTAATTAACCAATGACAGAATCCTTATTATGTGCAGGTATTTCTAATCCTTACATAAAGGAGGAAAAGACACAAATCAGTTGTCAGTGTGTTTGAAAAAACTAAAATATGAAGAACTCTCAAGGGATATAAGCTGTCAATATAGTTTCTATGGTTAGATGTGGAGATTTTCTCACACTGTTACTTAACATATAGTAAGATACATGGGGGAGGGGAGGATGAGTGTGAACCCCAGGAAAGACGACTATGAAGCCAACAGTTTGGGAACAGGTTCCATATATTCCCATCAGTCTTCAATCTGTCTGGCTGAATACCCACTAGAGTCCCTAACCAACTGATGCTGAAGATAAGAGATTAAAAGTTTGTAAGAAAAAGTTTGGAGTCTACTAACTAATGTTTAGGTACATTTATTGTCCATTAGTTGGTTTTAACAGCACCCAAAGAGATAAATGAAGCTGTGGTTTATAAATGATGACCTGCATGAGAGTAGAAGGACCTCTGAATATTTGGCTGTATTTTTGGCCACACAGCAAGAACAGATTTAACTCTCTAGAAAATTTCCAGATAACAGAGAATTAAGGACAGAATTATTTTGAGAAAGATGAAACATGGAAATAGAACAATGCCAGTCTTCTTTGCTCTCAGGATACCCTGGGAAAAATCTTAGTCAGTATATTTTAAAAATTATCATTTTATATATGTTTATCTCTCTCCTAGTAGACATATTGTTTTTCAAAAGCAAAGACACAAGGCTCATTTATATCTTAATCTCTAGCACTTAGCACAACTGATTTGCCCCAGTACTGGTTCATAAAAATTCAAATTAAATCAGAATGTCTCTACAAAGAACAATGAAGCCTAAACTTGGAATGTCGTAATCTGTCACCAATCCCTTTAAATTTGGTGGCTCCCCATTCTGGTTTCCTCATTGTGTGACTATGCTGCTCCATATTAAAAAAAATGGTGATTAGTCAACATCCAAACATTATTGACCACCCAAGTGCCAGCCACTAATCTTTTAGTATTGTTTTGTTGGAAATATTTTTTATGTGACATTTCCTTCTCTAGTGTAAGTGTGGATTTCCTAATGGAAACCAGGAGGAAACGAGCTTTACTTAACATAAACTGCTTCAAGCTCAAACTTTCCAAGAATGAATATGCTCTATTGTATAAGTGATAACAGTTGCTAGTTTATGAAAAAGAACTTTGTCATCCAATTTGGAGTAAGAAGAGAAAAAAGAAATTAATCTTAACTTGATTATACTGAACTGCACCATGGAATACAGCAGTAAAGAGTCATGTTTCACAACTTGGATAGTTTAAGTGGTTAACTAATGTGAAGAATATGATTATCACAGTATATAAAATTATTCTGTCCTGTGTCAGAGGTGATGTGTATGTGTATGTATGTGTGTGTGTGTGTGTGTGTGTGTGTGTATGAATTTCGTTCCAATAATAAAATAAAGCTAAAAATGACATGAGAGACAATTATCTTGGTCTGGCTAGTGAGTTCAGTCTCAAACCACAACTTTTATTAAGTTACGCTTGGTAAAGCTGTCTTGGAGGAAACCATGGAGGAGAGAGAAAAAGGCTAAAGTAGGTAGTGGTTCTACGGTTTCCTTCACTATGTCCCTACTTTTTGTTGAGAGGCTTGTATCTTTGAAAAACTGGGTTTCCTCCTAAAAGTCTGCTTGAACAAAGGGTTCTATGGTTAAGGAAGTTTAACCTCAATGTCTGTCTAATTGTAACAGAATAATTCAGTTTCTTTTGATGCTATCTTCATTATAGTTTATATAAAAACAGATGAGCAATCTATTGCTTCAGATTCCCAATACATAAGCTTACTTGATAGGTTTTAAAAATTGAATCAAGGCACACCCCCTACACACATACACTTTAAAATACTCAGGAATAGGAAAGATTCTCTCTTATTAGTAAAGAATTCTAGAGTTGGCTATCTATTAATAAATTTTTTTATAACATTAAAATCAGCCTTCAAATCCAAATGATAGTGTGAACTTGGAAAATTATGAATAAAAACTGATTGTATCACATTCAAACACATCCACATTTAGTATCCATTTTGATATATACCATTCAGCATTGGGATGGGAAGTTGAAACCATTTGTGGAAAATCAATCATAGTGATATGGTCATCTTTATCCAGTATCAGATTGAATTCATTGAAATCTCCATGAATCAGACCATGATTTGCGAGTTTGACAATTAGTTCCATAGCTTCATCATATACTGATGCAGGATCTTCAACATGGTGTATCTGACATCTGAAAGTATTTTAAGTATAAATAGGTTATCTGTACTCATTTATGATTTTTAATCAAGGTATACAGGGTGTGTGCATATATATTATTTCCATTCCCTATGTCCCTAGCAGCTTTCTCATTCCTGTGAGCAGACATAACACGTCCCAGCTATTAAAAGTCACATCTTGCTTCAATTCTCTACCTTCGTCTTCTACCTCCTTTCTTTGATCATCCTTACAGCCAAACTTTTTATACAATTTTCTTCTTCTCACTTTCTAATGAACCCATTTCAAACAGGCGTTCATTCACCTCATTTCAGTAAAATAGCTCTTGTCAGACTGCCAATGATTTCTACATTGCTAAATCTAAATTCTTAGTTATTATCATTTTTAGTCAGTTGATCTATTTCCCTGCCTTGAAATACCTTCTTTACTCTTGGGGTACCATGCTCTTCAGGTTTTCCTCTTTCCTCATTGATCACTACTCAGGCCAAAACCCTTGATGTCCTCATTGATTCCCCACTTCCTTTACACCCACATTCAATCCAAAGCAACTCATGTTGGTTCTGCCTGCAAAACATATCCAGAATCTGACTACTTTTCACTTTCATGGCTATCACTATGATCCAAATTACTATCATCTCTTGCCCAGATTACAACAAAAGTCTCCTAATTTATCTTCCTATTTATGTTTTTGTCTCCATTAAGATTATTATAGTAATCACAGTGATACTAAGACACTGGTCAATCATGTCTGTTCTCTTGTTTAAAACACTCCAATGGCTTACCATCTCAATCAAAATTAAAAGCTCCTTTCAACTGCCTATAATTCTTAAGTGATCTCACCACTTACAGACACCTTTCCTTCCATTCTTAGTCACTCAGCTCCAAATACACTGCTCTGCTCACCTTAGACAAGGCTGTAAACATGCTTTTACCCCACAGCCTATGCACTTGCTGTCCCGTTTGTCTGAAATATTCTTTTAGATATCTATATGGTTTCTTCTCGAATTTCTGTACTGATAAAAGTTTCACCTTTTAATGAGATTTTTCCTGACTACCTAATGTAGAATAGCAATCTCCTACCTCTACCTTAGTATTTCTATTCTCCTTGCACTGGTTTATTTTTATGCATGACACTTACTGATACACCTGATATCAGTAAGTTATGTGTTTACTTATTTGTTCATTTCACGTGTCCTTCCATCAGAACATAAGCTCCAAGAGAGGAGCAACTTTGTTTTTGTTCACTGCTGAACTTGCAAGTGCTCCAGTAAGTATTTAGTGAATGAATCACAGAGACTACAAAATTTAACATCAAAATGAAACTGAGTTTTCAACTTGTCTTAGTATCTACTCCTTCAGGTGAATTTCTGACTTCTCAGAAGCAGTATTATATTTTAAAAGTTTTACCAGAAAAAAACCTGATAGTTAAACTCACTTATCTGGACCTATGTTTTTAGGAATTAATGGATACTTACAGAGGATAACCATTCATGAGCTCCATGACCACTGCATGGCGATTGTAATCAACTGGCTTTGGAACTGGAAATTTCCTCTCATACAATGCCTAAAACAAAGTAAAACAGGTATAAGCTAATAAAGAGGTCTTTATTTGTTTATTGGTGGTACTGGGTATTGAACTTATGCTTGCCAGGAAGGTGCTCTACATTTGAGCCACTCTACTAGCTCTTTTTGCCTTGGTCATTTTGAGACAGGGTCTAGTTTCACGTTTGGGCCTGCCTGGACCACAATCCTCCTATTTGTCCTTTCCCGCATAGCTGAGATGGTAAATGCATGCTATCATGTCCAGCCATTTTGTTGAGATATGGTCTCATGATCTTTTAGCCTGGGCTGGCCTTCAACCTCAGTCCACTCATCTCCACCTCCTAAGTAGCCAGAATTACAAGCTTGAGCCACCATATCCAGCCCTGAGGTCATTATTTTTAAAGAATAAAAAGAAATATAGCTCCCACAATAAGAAAAGCACACAAACCTTTACAAAATTACAGTTAATCCGTTTATTTATGCATGGCTTGTTTATTCACTGCAAGAATAAGTTGTAGATTAAAAAAAACTTAAAGTTCACTTAAATTTTCTTCCAAAACTGAATTTCTAATAAATATTACACACTGTGCTAGCAACAAAAATCTGTGTAAAGTCTCTGCTTTCATGAAGCTCACAGTCTCTTAGGATACTTCCTTTCTATTTTGTAAATCTCTATCATTTGTTGATCTGTGCTTACAATATTCCAATGGAAACAAACTGTGATTTAAGCATACTCTGTCTTTTGGCATAGTAGGAAATATGGCATTCCTATGGTCAGGCATCTTTTCACACTGATCTTTTTCTCCAGAGCATACTATGTAATACAGATCTATAATGTTACAAACATAAATACTGTACTGGCCTGAGTCAAATTTTATTTCACATCACTCATACATCTGTCTTTCCACATATGCTTTATTTCTTCTGTCAAAGTCCTGTTACTTTCTTCAAAATACCTTACATTTATGCCCTCTCCCTCTTGGAATGCTAGATTTCTAAGTAAGCCTTTTTTACTTATGTATGATTACTTGACTATTACTCTAGTTTCTGCTACCATGCCTAACTTAGTCTACTGATCATTACAGGGAAGAATGAGTAGGCCAATGCTCCATTAAAAAAAAATCTACAATGGATTAAATATTGATTTTGGTCTGAGTTTTCCTGGCTTTCAACTGTCTTTAATCAACTTGTCTAGTCCCAGCATGTGCTCTCATGCTTGTCCTCTCTCTCTTGCAGTACTGGGGTTTTAACTCAGGGCTTCTTCCTTCTTAGGTTCCTGGGCAGGTGCTCTACCATTTGAAACACATTTCAGTTCTTTATTACCTTAGTTACTTTTTCAGGTAGGATCTGGAGCTGGCCTCAGACTACCATCCTATTACCTACAGGTTCCTATGTAGCTGAGATGACATGCAAGTACTACCATATCTGGCTTATTGAGATGGGTGTTAACTTTTTGCTGGAGTATGGCCTTGAACTGAGATCCTCCTGATCTCTGCCTCTTGAGTAATTGGGATTACAGACGTACTGTGCCTGGCCTTAGTCCTAGCTTTCTGTTGAATAAATACTTAGGTGTCACCTACATATGCAAGGCTCACATCCATTCATGCCTTGGCCTATACTAGCTCCTCTGCAAACTGTCTTTTTCTTAAAGTCAAATCTAAGAAGTAGAAATTCATTTAACTCTCATCCATTTCATACATCTTCCATAAACTCTTCTACTGTACTAACTGAAGTTTCCCTAAACTCAATAAATAATTTGTCTTTCAAAATATTGTTCCTTGTTTTATGTGTGCTGTGTTATCCCAATTTTAATTCTCTGGCATCTATCCATTCCTTCATACCACCCTACCCCAGTACTTAATTTTAAAAGACATACTCTATCTCCAGCCTTCTGTGGACAGGAACTGAATTACTCTCCACTCCCCAAAGAGTTCTGTTCAATTTGTTTTTAAAGAGTTGCATTCCCAATGAAGACCAGTTTGAACACTGCCTTGGCAATTTAATAGCATATGATAACCTTAGTACTTGTCTAGAACTTGTGCTATAGAACAACTCTCAAGTCAAACCTTCATCTTTATCTTATCCTTTTCCTCTTAGGAAAATATCATTTATTTAAGAAGTGTGTTTATCGGTAACCAGGCTCCATCTGTATAGCCAATAAAAATACCTAACATGGTTTTGGGCAAATGTCTATGATTCCTATAAAGCTGCTTACTTACTGACTAAATAACATAGGATATAAACTATTAATATAAGAGAAAAACTATATGACATTTTGGATCAGTATTATTCACTCTGCTTTAACAATTCTCCTGTGATTATTAAAATTTAAGTACCTGAATTAAAATACCCTACTCAAAGAACAAGTTGAACTCCCAAGAAACAATGATTTAAACTCTAGAGCAATTTTCAATAGTTCAAAATTTAAAATTCTAACAAATCCTACTAGACAGAATAATAAAAATACTATATTATTGAAGATATTTAATTGTTATTAAAGATATTTAACAAATCTATGCTGGATTAATTTCGAAAGGGTTAAAAACTACAGATTTTTAATATGTTAAATATACATACAAATTAGTAAATTGACATTTTTTTCCATTATGTTAAAGAAAAGTGATCTGATATACTAAGGCTTCTATAAAATGGTAATCTGGTGTTTTCAATTAAAAAATAGACATATGTATAGTTATACGTGTTAATAGAAATCCTTCCACAAATTCAAATTTGTATTAGTAACAAAAATATCTTCATTAAGAGGAAATCCCTAGAAAAAGAACAAATAGTAACCAGAGTTAAAAGGGAGAATTCTGAGGTAAGGGAGATGTTTGTCATTAAAATTGTTTTATTATTTAGTTAGGAAATGTAAAATCATTAAAAGTATACCTTCATATATGCAAATTCCTTCATGGCAGAGAGACGAGATAAATAAAGCCAAGACATGTTATGCCTGTGTTTATGGTAATCACGCTTGTTTTTCAGATTTCGAAAGGAGGTTCTCCCTAGTCTGTGAAGTTTCAATGCAAACTGCTGTCCTTCTTCATTTGCAACAATGTAAATATCTAGAGCCAAGTTTTTAAAAGGATCATTAATAAAAGATTTTTATTGCAGTAAATTAAAATAGTTAATTTTATAGGCCTTGTTTTATATCCATTATCTTTCCTATTAGTAATACTTACTTGGCAAAACTCTTCATCTCAGGTAGTCACCATTTTACTTCACTACCCAAATTGACAAGCCAACATGTATTAATTCTACTACAAAAACAGAGATGCAGTGTGTCAAGGGTACACATTGTCTGCATGTACTATTATGTCAGAACAATCATTCAATATGAGAAGTAATTTTTCTTTTTTTGGTTGTGCTAGGGATCAAACTCAAGGTCTTGCTCATGCTAGGCTAGTGCTCTACTACTAAGTTACATCTCCAGCCCAAGAGAAATTATTTTAACATTTTCCTTTTAACAACATGTAGTTCATTCTTCAATTGCCTTGATGACTAATACTCAGTTGTCAGAATATAATCTTCTAAGAGTTTGTTAAATAGCAAAAGAAACTGCTATTTATAACGCTGACATTTAGAACACATTCTAATTACTCATGAAGAAATTAAAATAGGTTGTCATTACTGATGGGACTCTAAATCAACACAATCTTTTTGAAGAAAAACTAGGCACTATCTAAATTTAGAGTATCTTTTGTCCTGTTAAGGACTAAATTACATTCCTCCAAAATTTCTACACTAAAGTCCTTAACTTTAATGTAATTATCTGGGAATAGGTTCTTCAAAGAGGCAATTAAGGCTAATGAGGTCATAAGGGTGAAGCCCCAATTTAACAGACACCAGTGACACAGACAAGGCCATGTGAAGGCACAGTAGCAAGGCAAGTAGATGTCTTTAAGCCAACACTAAGATAAAGGACAAACCAACCTTCTAAACTCCTAGCCTTCAAAACTGTGAGAAACTGTAGTCACCTGATCTGTGACTACAGCAGCTCTAACAAGCTAAAACATACCATAATAATTCAATTTCATGAATGTATTTACAAATTTATTTGCATACATGCATAGACAGTGGTACAAGGATACTAACTACATCACCAACTGTTTGCCTTCTCTTGTAAAATGGTCTGTGAATGTATCCTTAATACATAAATATATAGTTGTTTTTACTTAGACAAAAAAGAATATCTAACAAATCAAGTGTTAGCTACAGGACGTAATGAGAAGAGACTGAGATACAGATTAGAAGTAAGACTAGTTTTAGTTAAACTATTTCTTTTAGTTAACATTTTGCCATGCAATGAACTTCTTGAAAATTAAAAAAAAATCAATACTTTTAAAACTGAATGTTTATTTCATTATGACTTGGTTCTCATATACATATATATTACTGGAGAATTTATAAGTCAATGCATGATTTTGTACTCAAGAATTAGGATAGGATACAAAAACAATTAACATTAGTACTCTAGTATTACTTCTTAAATATATGCCACAATCTGGACATAAACATAGAAGAAAAACCATGTAAGTACCATAGAGACCTTTTGTGGGATGGGTTTCCTGATAATTCTTTCACCTGCATGCTTAACTTTGTTTCTTCAGTTTAGATAAAAAATGTGACCAGACAGGATAAACTGCGTAAGGCAAGAAGCAGTATATAAGAAGGTATGATATAAAGAAAACCATGCCTTTTTTCATTACTTCTGTCTTTCACATAGAAAATAAATAAATACACAGTTATTTGTTGTTCAATGTGAATGTCGGTTTGGATATTCACTATCTTTTTATTATTTCCTTGTGGTATGTTATTTTTAACTGTTACAAATGTCTAATTAATGAGACAGAAAAGCAAATATTGGCAAAGATTTAAGTGCTTAGAGGAAAAATCAGGGCCTGGGGTGTAGACATGTGCTTGGTATGTGTGAGGCCCTTGGTTCAGTATCCAGAATCAAAGAAAGAAAAACAAACTAGAGGGAAATTAATTCTTGGTGTAACTGAATCTTCAGTGATGGATTTATGGAGATAACAATAAGCTTCTAAAATAAGGGTATGTTCCTAATCTGTATTGCTTTCAACCAACTTGCCATTGGAACTTCCAACTAAAACAACTTGTTTAATTGGAAAATATATAAACACTGAAAGAGGAATACTTTCTCAAGGAGAAAGATGAACCAAAGCAAACAAAAGGCTTTCAACAGCACGATTAGCACCTACTTACCTGATTCTTTGCCAACACCCATCTGATTTCCAACAGACGCAACTACCTGTCTAGAAGAAAGTGTTTTCAAAGCTAGGTAATCGTAGCCTGCATTTGTCAACCGATAGCCCTGGACAGCTAGACAAAAATCAAATAAGAAAGACCATATTTTAGTTATATTCACTAAGTCACATCAGTTCAAATTATTTAAAAAAAATGTACAGATAAGAAATCTTACTTGGAAAAAGATATACTACCCAGACTTATAAGTTTCTTATTTCTTCCTGTAATTTGCATATTTTCTCCAGTGTAAAATTAATCAAAGTTTGACTCACATATAGACAGTAGTCTACAACTATCTGTAACAAGTATATAGACAAAAAGGAAGTATTTAAGTTCAGAATTGATTTGATCAAGATTTTATGCCTCTATTTTTTTGTATGTTATCCATTTCATTTTTCTAATACCTTTTATTTTTTAAAAGAATCTGTGACAGGTTGAAAAAAACAAAACTCTCATCACAGACAGTTTCAGAAGTAATGCTCTATAGAGTCCTGTGGCAGGCTAAAATTTCCAAACATGGTAACAACACTATCTCTATTCTATTTGTTCTTCTGCAATGGAATCTTGCTATTCCCTTTCACCACCCCTTTAATCTGGTGACCTTTGTGATTATTTTTGAACAATAAAATATGGCAGAAAGTATCATGTCAGTTTTTGATCTAAGGCTTTACTAGTCTGGCAATTTCTACTTCTTCACCTGTTCTGGGATGATGTATCAAAATACTTACTTTTGGTACGCTCCCAAGCTATCAATTTGTGTTTCACTAATTCTCTTAAAACTTTATTACAGCCACCATGTTTCAGGCTGGCTATAGAAGCAATCAAACTGCAGGGAACTATTTCATGGTTCTTCATGCCCATTTCAACCTGAAATTAAGGAATCATTATGAAATCATAATTAACACAAAGCCTTGTAGATCAAAAAAACCTTGCCAAGAAACTAACTTCTTGAGATGTTCCTGTACTTGCAGTTCTTAAACTAAAGTCATGTGTCATCTAACAACAGGGATAAATTCTGAGAAATGCATCAGGCAATTCTGTTCTTGTGTGAACAGTACTGACATATATTAAGACTGCTCTGTTGTCACTAGGCAATATGCTCTATGGGACCACTGTGGTACATGTGGTCTGTCAATGACAGAAAGTTTCTAGGACATAATTACTCTCTTCTCTAACATATTTTCAATAACAATTTGATATACACACTCATCACTGATATTCACTGCCTCTTACTTCAAGAGTAAGACTTGTGAGTGCTTGACAAGTTAATGATACATGGCAGATACTAAATTACTTATTGACGTCTAAACATAAAATACAAATGTTCCAGATATTTATTAAGCAGGTATTTAATGAGAAAGTACAATATGTACCATTGTGCTAGGTATTAGGAAGGATAAAAAATATAACAATATTCTGTACCCCTGAACAATTAAAGAAGCAACACTTGAGATTATCTTTTAGGGTATACAGAGACAGTAGACAAAGGGATATCACATAAAAATAAATAAAAGACTTGGAAATGGTACACAGGCAAGAAAGTACTGAGCATAAGGAAACTAGTGCAGCAGTAGCTCAAATGGGATGGTGTGGTTGGAGATGTAGCTGGAAAAGGTGAGAAACAGATTCTATACTTTAGAGTCTTATGTGTTTAATAAATGGTCTGTGTCAGGGAACCACAGAATGTTTTTTAACCAGGGAAGTGACAAAATCTGGTTTTATAGCCTTAGTCTTATGACACAAAGATCAATATATACCTCAGGCATTTATAGAATACAGCTGTATATTTATTTAGGAGCCATTATCTTTTGACAAGGAGTGATCCTCATGTTAAATCACTTATATTGTTTAATTATTTAACAGGATATGTGATAAATCACACTGATTCTTGTATCTTAAGGCATTGGGTTTTGGATTTTTGAAATTAGTCTTAAATGGGCAATACTTAAGATTAAACAATCAAGTGAAATTTAGAACACACTTTTTTTTTCCTTTTCTCCTGTAGATTTTTAAATTCATTTGGCCTTCTGTTAAATAACTACTGTCATCTTGGAAAAGCACTTTCCTTTTCTGCTTCCTCTCACCTATTTCTCAAGGCCTCTGACAAAAATAGAAGTTTTAGAGGCTGGGAAAGGCAGTGACAAAGCAAGGAAAAGGACTTAAGTTTAAAGTGTTAAGTTTTGGTGGGACATCAAAACAGTAACAGGTTAATCTTCCAAAACTTTAGCTCTGCAATGTTTAAATTCTTTTCAAAGGTCACAAAGGAATGACCTAAACATTAAATATAATATCCTATTCTCAGTTGAACCATACCAGTGTTTTTATCATTCTTTGACGCCCCTTTTCAGTAACTTCTTTGCGTACTGTATCAATGACCATTGCCTGACTAGCTGCCCTTACCTTTCAATATGAACTTCCTCCAAAATCCTGCCCTCCCCATCCTCTTTTTACTTCCACTTTTATCCTGCTTGGTGATTACATCCATTTCACAGCTTCACTTCTTATCTCTATCTAATTTACAATGTTTTCCTCCACTTACATCATTCCTAAGTACAGACCTCTTTCTAGTATTTCCTTAACATCTTCATTTGACTCTTACATGCTAAAAGCAAATTCATCTTGTCTACCCCCTTCTCCTTCCCCAGATTCCATCAAAAAAACCTTTTCTCGTTCTCTTCGTTTCCAACTTTGACTCCTTATTCCTTTTCTCTCCCACATCCAACTGCCAACTTCTTCCGTATTATGTCCTAAGGGACTTTAATTTCTTCCTTCCATTACCACTACCTCTTGCTCGTGTTCTTACTACTTGTCTTGACAACTGTGTTTTCTAAATAAGGCAGAAGGAACAACATGCGACTGAACCTACGAGTGAGGAACTGAAGCTTTAACTTTCACAACTCTCCTTCGGAAGACACAAACCCTTCTCAGCCGGGTGGGAAGCCGGCGCTCAGAGAAGTTCCCGGCCACAGAAATGCGAGTGTCTCTTAAACAAAAAGGGAGCAGAAAGGAAGGAGACGATTACAGGAGGCCTTTGTTCTGTCTGAGGGAAGGTAAGCTCCTAACCAAAATCTTTTGAAAAATCACTCTCCCGGTGCTCCTTCCCGCAGTTGCCAGTCTGGCCGTGTCCCAGGGACCAGAGCGAGCCTGCTCAGCTCCCAGCAAACTAAGAGGACTACAGGAAGGAACTCACGGTGGGTTCGAATACAGGAGAGGAGAAAGGTGGGCCTCTTACCGCGGTCAAGACCCTGAAGTCATCTCGGCTCAAGTATCGGAGCTTGGCCACATTCACCTTCCCCATGGCGGACAGAGCGAGCCCAAACGCCTCTTTCACGACAGCGGCGGGCGCGAGGCTGCTGGGTAATGTGTGCTTTACGGCCGCAGGAAGGTTTGCGCATGCGCGATGCCTCACCGCGGGCCTTGCTGCTAAATAAAAGTGCTATTTTCATTGGCCTGGGCAAGCAAAACGTCTTGTGTGTCTCATAAGCATATAGTATAGAAAAGGGAGCTTTTTATTTTTCAGTGATGTTTTCATGAAACTGAATTGGCGGGCTTCAAATATTCTCTACAATATACCATTTTAGTTTTTAGTATCTGTCAGGACTTGCAACCGAATGACGTCCCAACTCCAAGAGCAGGAGTGGGAACTAAATGGGAGGAGCGAATTTTATTCCCTGACAGCAGTTCCTACTTTTGACAAAGTGACTTCTGACAAAAGTGGGGAGGCAATGACCCTGAGCGAGAACCTAGACTAGGACAGTAATTACGCGCAGGCCCTCGGTTCGTAAGTGCGTGGGCTCCGCGCGCTGGGGCCAGGCCGGGCTTGGGTTGTGGGCGAGGCTCCCTAAGGGCTGCACCCGTGGGGTGGGGTTTGGAGTGTCTTCTGAAGGCAGAGCAGTTTGCTTACCTCTCAGAACTCTTTAACAGAGACTGAGAATTTGGATGGTTCTGTGGACCTGTGCTAGTGGAATTTCTAGGGTTCAGAAGCAACTGCAATCCACACTGGGTCTGCAACTCTTCTCTGTGCTACACAACCCATACATAACACGTGCGAGACTGTAAACAGCACCCAAAGATGTTTACCATACCTTCCCCACAACAACTGGGTAACAAAACTTGCATGTTAACTCTTTAACGTTTCTGTCTTATTTCCCGAACTATATTTTAAGCAGCAACTATTTTGGTACACTGTCCCGTTAAGTGTGGGTGCCACAGATTGCCACCAAGGATTGCTGTCCGCTTCATTCTTGTTCTCGTTCCCAACCACTGGTGTTTAATCGGTCTCTTGGGGCCAGTCTCAAAACTTTGAGTTAAATCGTTGGAATTCAGTTATTTACAGAGTTCCGTCTTCCCTCCCTGGATTTTCACAGACCAGTATACTGATCTTTCTCTTCCTTCCTTTCTTCAAGACCCGGTACTGAGTATGTTGCTCCATCCAAACACAGTCCCCTTTCATAAAACAGGCCCTGGATTTTAAAGGCAGGCAGCAGGCTATGTCTTTCCAGCTAAAGGTTGCTGGTGTTCCAAAATCATGGAAGAGGACATGGAACAACCCCTGTCCTCTTGATGGCCCAACCTCTGGCATCTTTTTACTAGAATGCAGCATTCTTTGATTAACCATGCTGAACTAAGGGACATCTTCATTTAAATGAATTTTCCTTTCCATACTTCACATAAGAAGACGTAAAAATGAAGTTTTCTTTAAAAAACAACAATAAACAGCTAACTTCTAGAAAAAGAATGTGATGATAAGCACAATGGGTATTTATCTCTAATACAACACTTTAACAAACACTGCTGATCTATTATGACAGAAATAATATCCTTATATTATTTCTCAATAACACTTAAGACAGCCAGTACTAATTTGAGTGAATTTGGCTAGAATTGCTATCTGAGTCTGGAATATGCCCTAGGATTGATCACATTTAGTCCAAATATTTTACCCTTTCAATATTATACTATTCTTTGGTGGTACTAGTGCTTGAACTCAGGGCCTCAAGCTTGCTAAGCAGGTGCTCTACCACCCATTTTGCGCCCCCCCCCACATCCATTTTTGCTTTAGTTATTTTTAACATAGAGTCTTGTGTTTTTTGCCTGGTGCCAGTTTGAGCTGGGATCTTTCTACCTATGCCTCCCACATAGCTGGGATCACAGTATTGCACCACTACATTCAATTTCAATATTTTTAAAAATAAAATAATCTTAATAGGCCATTTTGGAGTAAAACTAAGTGATTAGAGTTCAGTTTGGTAGTCTTTTCTATCATATCATGTTTAGTGCTGACTTAAAAAAATGTACAGTATTCTTCACTTATTCACTATTTACCAAACATATATGCTTGATTTTTTTTTTTGATAGATCCTGAGGAAACTCAATCTCAACCTTAAACCTTATAGTGGAAGGAGATGAATAAAACATTAGATAGTATGTGACAGAAGTGCCAAAGGCTTATAATGTCATTATTTCCTCATCCCTGACCTCCCCACTGCCATCACACACATATATGCACCCTGTCCTCACAAACTGTAGGGCGTCTTGAGTGTCTACAGATTAAAGTTCAAACTTCTTAGTGTGGTATTCAAGATCTGCAACCATTTGTACGATTACTTTAAAGTGGTTCATATTCTTGTGTAATTGTGCTTTTTCTTTTAAATGTCCTTAAATTCTGTCTTCACTGTCTTCCCTTCACTTGTAATGCTTACCTTCTATGCCCCCTTTATTTCTTTTTTTCCAGCCACAATATATGTAAGTTCTATCTATTACTCTTCAGGTTCTATGTACTCCATAGAGCTTTTATTATTTCAATTTATATTCATTTCCTGCAACTGCTGTAACAAATTGCCACAACATTGGTGGCTTAAAACAGTAGAAATGTATTCTCTCATAGTTCTGGGGGTCAGAAATATGAAATCATTTTCACTGAATCAAAATGAAATGTTGGCAGGGCCATGCCCCTCCAGAGGCTGTAGGGGAGAATCTACTATTCTTGCCTTTTCCAGCTTTTGCCAGCCTTTGATGGCTGCTGGTTTTCCTTTGGGTTGTGATGACTCACTGTTACAGTCTCTTGTCTTTGTGGGAACATTATTATCTTCTCCATTTCTGGATATGTGTGGGTCTTCCTCTGAATCTGAATCTTATAAAAAATACATGTGATTGCATTTATAGCCCACCCAGACCCTTAAATCGGAAAAAATCTCCTCCTTCTCCTTCTTTTTCATTTCTTCATATAGGAAAAATTCGTGAACTCCAGGAATTAGGATGTATCTTTTTAGTGGTCATTATTCAATATACCCCAATCCCAGAAGGATGTAAGTATTCCCTTCTCTATTCTTCTGCAGCCCATTACCTTTAATGATTCTGTGTACTTTTTAACCTCCTCTACTGTCCCATAAATTAGACTAACAGTGGGAAAATTTGAACAAGATTGAATACAAAATTTGGATTCAAGGAAAAGCAAAATTGTATTATATGTTTAAGATATTATACTAGCTTACATTCATAAAAAATGTAACTGACTTTACTTTATATGGGCCATGTTACTAGTGCCATATTATTTTGTATTAAGGGCATTAGTTATGGGAAAAACATAATATAGAACATATGGATTTGTGGAGTTTATATACATTTCTAATGAAAGATTCATAATGCAGATTTGTACAGTTCAGGAGCAGGGAAGAATATGCAGCAGAGAATTATATGCCTTCAAAAACAGATCCTGTTATGATGCAGAATCCTGATGCAGATGGAGTGCCTAACATTGAGGTTTCAAGTGACAGTATGGTCATAATTATCCTTCACAAAGTGTTTTTTGTCACCTCAACGATATTATGGAGGTAGGCAATTCCAGCAATGATTTGAAAGAGCACATGCAGGATTGAGCACAGGCAATCTGCATGAGCAAGTAGCCTGAACTTTTCCCATGTCATCAAAACTATTTCTCAAGCACCTCTTTCTCAGCTTGTACCTCTATGGGTGATCCCTTACAATCAGTTGGTGAAGGAAACAAACTCAACAGTTGGCATTTGGTTCTTAGATTGGTCAGTTTGATATTACGGTCAAGCTATCATCTCCCTTGTGTGGACTTGAAAAAGAGGTGATCATGGAATGCCTTTCCAATGGGTAGATCTTTAGGAGGCACACTTGGTCATCTACATGTTTAGCAAAAGTAATAGCCCAAGTTTAAAATATACATGTACTCAGGGGAAGGCGTGAACAACTTGGCTGGTTGGTCAGGGACATAGAAAGAAAAAATTTGGTAAATCAGAGACAAGGAAGTCTGAGATAGAGAAGTATAATTCTTAATATTTGAGAGTGGACAAGAAATATGAAGATCTTTGGATGGCATTTAACACCTACCAGAAAACATCTAATACAGAAAAGGCACTAAGCAATCAGATAGACTAAAACCTTGTGTGCTTGATTACAGCTAGCCTTTGTCATTGCAGGCTGCCACCCCAGTGAGGAACAATCATTATACAAATGAACTAGTTATGGTAGAAGGTATGGAGGAGGCTATGTATGAGTCAGACAATATGGTCTATGTGTTATTTACCTTTGTGTTGCTATGATAAAATATCTGGCATAAACAACTTAAAGGAGGAAAAATTTATTTGGCTAATGGTTTCAGAGGGTTCAGTTCATGGTCACTTGGCCCCATGTGCTTTGGGAGAACATTATGGTGGTAAGAGCATGTGGTAGAGGAGAGCTGTTCATCTCATGGCAGATAGGAAGCAGAGAGAGAAGAAAGGTCAGAGACCTGATTTAACTCTCAAAGGCATGCCACCATGCCACCTTCTCCCATCTAGGCCCCACTTTCCAAAGTTTCCACTACCACCCAAAATAGTGCCATCAGCTAGGAATCAAGTATTTAACACAAGATCCTGTGGGAACAGTTTATATTCAAATCATAATGAGCTCCAACTATAAGGTTAAAGCAGCTCCTGGACAGCATGCACAAATGTTGAGTTTTGAGAATGACATCATCTCTTGAGGAGACTAACCAGTCACTTGGTATAAAAATGACTACATTGAGCCCCTTCCATTATAGAAGGACCAGAGTATAGATTCATATTGAGCAATACATATGGGCATAGGTTTCCTTTTCCTTTCTGCAGAGCCTTAGCTTGCTCCAATATCCTGAGGCCTACATAATGTTTTCTCTAACAGCATGGAGAGGAGGACAAAGAAGAGAATACACATGACCATGAAATCCCTGTTCATATCACATGCCACAATACTCAGAGGCTGCATGATAGAATGGTGGGAAAGTTTGTTGAAGGACTATCCTATTGAAAGCATTACTGAAGTG